CGACCTGGACCACCTTAAGCAAAGCGATAAAGAGGTGGAGGATGGCTTGTCGACCTGGTCCGATGAGGTTGTTGCTTTGCGCACCACCGTGTTGGAATTGAAAGAAGAAGTCGATGTGCTCAAAAAGAAGTGTGACGATATGGAAGGGCGCATGAGAAGGTGCAATGTGCAGATTGTTGGAGTTCCTGAAACGCCAGAATCAAGCTCCACTTCAGCAGAAGCTAAACTGCTAGCAGAGGTTCTACAGATGGATAAAGAGCCACTGGTGGACCGAGCCCATTGCTCTCCAGGTGGAAACAAGTCAGGCGATAAGCTGCGGGTTATTGTGGCTAAGCTGCACTATTATCAACAATGTGTGGAAATACTGCGTCGGGCTCGGAGTCTTGGTCCTCTTCGTTTTAAAGAGTCACCAATCACCATCACATCTGACTACACGGCGGCTGTGGCCARGGCTCGAGCGGCGTTTACGGAGGTGAGGAGGYTTCTTCGCAACCGACRWGATGTTCGCTATGGCCTGCTTTTTCCTGCACGGCTTCGCATCTCTCATGGGGAGGAAAGCAAGGAGTTCCTGGATGCCAATAAAGCAATAGACTACGTTAAAAAGAGGATCATCTTGGCGACAGACAACGAGGACCGGCGTTGACTGCAGGTCCAGCCCTCATCTATCCATTGTGACTGTCAGGTTGTAATGAACCTTTAATCTTGATTTAATTTTAGACTTTATTCTCAGGGACAATATTCCTCTTTTTGTTCTATGTACGAGAGTTTCACAGGGGGTCTGTCCAGATCTTGGTTAGTGTTTTATTTATCAGTGCTGCAAGGAGCATAAACAATAATAATACTTTAAAGTAAGGGAACCCCTTTTTTATATATATTTTTGGGTATTGTTATTTAGTTATGGCGGGAGTCCAGGCAGGGAGTTCAGCCCCCAAGTATAAGCACAAATGTGTGGATTTTTTTGTTTGTTGGGTTCTCCGTTTTTTTTTTTAGGAGAAAGTGGTGGGACTACACCGGATCTATTTGTTTTGAGAATGTCTTTTTCAGGTTATTTTTTTGTGATGGTTTGTGGATATTGTACTGCAGTCCAATTGACCATACATGAGCAGTTCTAATATTAACAGGTTCATCAACAGTCACCCAGTTAACTGTGTGTTGTGGAATACTTATGTCTATATCACCTTGACACTGTCCACTGTTCATATCTCGTTGATATCC